AAAAAAGATTCGTGTGTTTTGGTGGTCGGTGTGTGGCCAATCAAGCAGGTATTTAATCGGTAATTCTGTTAAGTTGTATTTCATGGCTTAAGTTAGTTGTACCTAAGTTGTTTAATTCAATGCTCTGCTAGTGGCGGTAGAGCGCGATCGCATCTTAGCTCCGTGCTCTGGCGGTCATCGTGGAGTTTAGGCTTACGGCGTTGACAGGCGGTTAAAGTCACTCTAATAGATGAAGCTCTATACAGAAGTAATATATCGACGGTGAAAGTCGGTAATTACATAACTCGTTTGCGGTGTCTGAAAATCTCCGCCTCTACGTCATTTTTTTAAAGGAGAACAAATTGATATTATTTCTTGAAGTTTTTGCAGAATTTTCTTCGCATTGAGAAGAAAAATCATGACAGTTTTAAAGAATTGCCGTTGAGTAGTTTTCCATTTAGAAAATAAAGTATGACAGGAAGTCTGCGACGTCGCAGACCGAGTTATGTGATTGCCGACTTTCACCGTCGATATTTAGTATTAAGGCTATAAAAAGTTAACAAAAACCTAGTCAACATAAAATTAGTTAGACGTGAACACGCCAACTCTCTTGTGAGTAATCATCAAACGATGCTTCCCGATAAAAACGCTAGGTGTTTCATTCCTCTTGACCATATCACTAGACGGTTGGTAATCAATGATGTCCATACATATCTTAACATCGCACAGTCACAAAAACACAAAGTAATAAAATACCATAAAAAAAGGAGTCATAAAGTTGGAGTTTTTGTGTTAATTGTTGTTCGATGGATTGAAATTAGACCCTGAGTTGGAATATTTAGTGTCTTAGTGTCTTCGATCGAATGTGTGGAATCGTGAATCGTGAAACGTGTGATCAAACTACCCGGAACCTCAGAACTCGTGTTTTGTTGTGTTATGAGTGAAAACAGATGTGAAATTAAAAGAGGCGGTTAGGGCAGGCGTTCGGGAAAACGTACAAAGTAGGGAAAACGGGAAAAGAAAGATTGAGACTGGTAATTATCAATTATCATTAGGGACGGAAATGGAAAAATAGTAAAATGGCTGCAAAAGAAGTTGTTACGGTAGTACAGGATTTGGTAGACAAAGTGCATGATGAATTAGATGTGAAAGAGAAGGATGTAGTCTATATTCTTACATCATGCAGGGATGGAAAGCAAAAACATGCAATTTGGTAGACACAGCAGTAGCACTTCGTTGATGGATCATATGGAGGATAAGACAGGGAAGGCAAAAGAAACGTTAGAAGTTAGTACTATCATGGGGTGATGCGAAAGTTTTCATGATCAGGATCGCTCATGATCAGAAATGACTGGTCAAGATCGCTGGATGACGATTGGAGTGCCGAAGCAGAACGATCAGGAGGTACGTACGCTCAGAAGTAGAGGAGAGCACGAGAAAGGTAGCAGAGCAGAGCGCGAGAAGTGACAGTGAGGAGTGTCGTTTCAGACGTCGAGGTGACTTAGTGCGTGGACGCGATAGCGTGTCACGCTCAAACCCAAGGAGCTACTAAGTCAGAGTCAATCGATCAACTTTTCCTTTATGATTTTCCTCGTTGAGATGCATTTGATTTTGTGAGCTGTGCCCCCGGCGATTAGTAAAAGATCTTGTATTCTGCTGCAGTTTACATTCATAACGCAGCGGAGACTGCTTTCATCACTTAAACATACACTCGGGATAAATTAATGAGGAATTCAGCGAAAACCCCCTACATCGATCCGACTAAAGCCATTCATTCGCTAATTTTCAAAACCTGTTCTGTGAACTCGGCAACCGGCGAGGAGCCGAGAGAGCGGCGAGAAAGGCCACCCTCTACAGCAGGTTATCGATTGAATTTTAATTGCGATTTTGAGTGAGCGGTGAGTATTTTTTCATTATTAATACGAGCTCCGATTAATCTAGACTGCCGCCGGTAACTGGCGAAGGTCGAGGTCAACATCACCCCTTTTTTCTGCAGCTTTCACCGACACCCCGTCTCGCGTCTCCATCTTTCCGCCCTACCGGTCGATTCGCCATCCCTTAAAGCGGATGCACTGGACAGTCAGCCGATAAGGGTTGATATGATTGCATAGTTGTTCAAAGAGGATTTTTTTAGGGTACTTTTGCAAACTTAGGTCACTTCAAAGTGTACTTCATATCTTGACGTGATAGGACAATAGAGAAAGTCGCGAAATAGAACATAGCGTCACATGTTTTCTTGGCAGATCTTGAAAAGAAAATGATTCTCAAGACGGGAAAGTTGTAAATTAACTCGTGAGCAATCAAGTATTTTTAACACAGATCGATGTAAGTTTGATCATACAAATGACGTCGTTTGTATTTTTGCTATTTAACCAATATTATTAGTAAACTTGTAAAGACATTACCAAACATCTGGTTGTGTCATTCAATTCCCTTATGAAATTATAAACAGGAAATATTTTACGCGAAACTTTAATTCATACCTTGGTAAGAATAGACAAATAAGGATCAGGTAACGCTGCTGTAATAAGGACGTTGTATCAGTATTCGGATGTTTCTTCCTCTAGTTTTTCAAAACGCCTTCAAATGACGACGATACTCCGCAACACACCAGAGCTCGAATAGTCGTATCACGGAAACTTGACTGTGTGATACGGAACGCACATATCAAACAACCTTATAAGTCCATTGCTTTGTCCATCAATTTCTAAAATCAACCAACCGGCCCATGATTTATATATTTAATGTGACATTTAACACTATTCAGGTGATGCGCTTTGTGATGGTCCTAACACTACCCTGTCTTTCTGTTTCAGGTCATTCCGACGCACAAAAAGCACCACAGAGCCGTCTTAGGACGCGATAATCCGGGGCTCCAGTAAAAAAGGCTTGCAACCTACACTACCGTGCTAAAGAAAAACGCCGTATGAACCTTCAGGCGTTGCCAAATTTCCTCTGATAAAACACGAACTGCCTGGTAAACTTATGAATATTTTCCTTCCGATTTTTCTGATGATTTTGTTCGCAACTTCACCTAGATTTCCTGAAAATTTCAAGGAAAAATATTCATAGCTTTCCTCAAAAATATAAATATTATCGAGGAAAATTTGGCAACTCTGGAATGTTCATACGGCGTTGTTCCTTGGGACGGGAGCACAGAAGCCTCGAGCGCGTCATGCATTCTTAGCGACTCGCGTGTGTTAACGACAGCCCTCCCGACCGGAAATGGCCACTACCGGAAATAGTTCCGCGGGAGTCGGATATGTCTGCCATGACTGTTTCCGCTTCGGATAGTTAGGCTGCCCGCTCAACGGCCCGTACTTCGGCCGGGGGAAAAAATCTTGCCGGAAGCCCCGCTTAGAATTATTTCCGGCTCCGCTACTCCACGCCTCTCGCTTGATGAACGTAATAATTCGCCGGTGTTTCTTACGGCACGGCCGGAAAATAGCATCCAGAAACAACGTATATGCTTTACAGACCTACTTTCTTGGGGTATCAGGACGGTTTCGAGGTTTCAGATTTTTTGGTGGGATTATTTTTGTTTTTCGCCAACAAGAGAAAATAAACCCTCAATGCTTCAGTCATTTCATTTTACTTCGCTCAGCTTGCGATATAAAAATCCTAAGAGGAAAAAATCAAGTAAAATTTTAGGAGCCCCAACTATTAAGCTCAAAAATTGTGATTCATTTACTGGTCTAGTCTCGCCTTCACTGTCGATTCTCCAAACTGGCAAACAGGGAAAATTTATACTCAGTTTCTCAAAAGCGAATATCCAATTAATGTCATGCAGCTTTTTGTCCTCCTCACTTCATTTCAATTCTAGATCACCGGAAACGTACACTGACCAAATATTACGCTGTTTAAAACTCCGATTTGAAATTCTGTCTGGTATACGCGGTTATTCTGTTCTTCAACCAACAAGAAAGCAATCGATTGTTAATAGATCAATAATTTCGTTTGATCTTTTTAGTTCGCGGTGCATCAATTTCAGACCGGAAACGAACATGCCTAACCGGAAATAGAGTTAAATTTAGGAAACCCCAACTACTCAGCTCAGATAGGATGATTCTCCTCACTGGCAGACGGGGGAAATAAACTCTTTTTCTCAAAAGCGAACAGTCAATTAATGAAAGGTTCCCTCCTTTTAAGAGTTGACCTCCCTTAACTAAAAAAAAAATAAATAAAAATAAAATTGTGTGTCCTCTTTACTTCACTTGCACCAGAAACATACATAGCTGACCAAATATTTGGCAAAATTTTAAACCCCTGATTAAAAATCCCCTCTCGCAGTCCAACCAGGGTTATTTTCTTCTTTCGCCGCCAAGAAACCCACCAATCGTGGATAGATCGGTAATTTCGTTTGTCTTTTTTCAGCCGGCGCGGCGGTGCAAACACCTATTACTGGACAACGGGGAAAATTAATTTCCGTTTCTCAAAAGCGAACCGTCAATTACTTTCAGGATTCTCTTCTCCCAGTGCACGGACAAGGAACATGGTTGACAAAAAATCGGCTCCGATTCTAGAATTCGAATAAGAAGGCTTTCCTCCGTGAAGGAAACTCTTTGGCCGGACGATGGAATGACCGGAAGTTATTGCATTACAGGAAACAAAGGTGCCTAACCGGAAATAGAATTAACCTCCTCTCCGGAAAACCGGGGAAATTTCACTCCGTTTCTCGAAAGCGAACAGTCGATTACTTTCAGGATTCTGGAACAACGAACATGGTTGACAAAAAATCGGTGAAGCTTGTAGAATTAGATTAAGAAGGCTTTCCCTCCGTGGAGGAAACTCTGAGGCCTCAGGATGGAATGACCGGGAGTTGTCGTTGGGTGCTGCTGGGAGCGGCCGGTGCCGGTGCGGCGGTGATGACTTGACCGGGTGGTTCGACCGGAGTTGCCGGAGATGTTCCCGGTGCGGTTCCCGGGGGCGCTGCCGGCGCAGGCGGTGCAGACGGCGAGGAGCAGCGGGGCGGAGCTGCGCGGTGTGGGTGGTGGCGGGGGCGGGGGTTCGGGGACGGGGGGGCCGGCGGGGCCCCAGGCGGGCCCCTCCAAGGCGGAGGTGAAGGTGCAAGTGCGGCCGCTGACCCGGGAGTCCCTCGGGAAGCCGGAGACGAAGACGGTGCAGCTGGCGCGGGAGTACGGGTTCCAGCCCAAGAGGAAGGTCAGCGTCGAGGACGGCTCCATCCTCCCCGGCAAGTTCGAGCCCTTCCCCAGCCGGCTCTACGGCAGGCCCCTCGAGGAGATCGACAATTTCATCTACGATGAGGTAAGAGCAACAATCATTCATTGATACATATGTCGCAGGCAAATAGTAAAATCAGGCATTTTGTCAAATGACTAGGCAAATAGTCAAATATTTTAACTTAACTGGATTGAAATTCTGATTCTTTTCCTAATTTCAGGCAAAATAATTCATTGTTCCTGCAAGAAAAAATTCTCAATTTCGGCGCCCGCAATAATATTTTAAACAATTTTTATCTCCTGAGGAGATACTGACCTTGAAATTTTCAGCATGTCGTAAAATACAGAATTTTTGGAATTTCAACGTTTAAAAATATGAGAAGCAATTGAAGAGGAAGAGACAGAAAGAGTTCGTAGGCTTGATGAGTTATTTTCCCCAAAATAGAGAAAAATCGTGAGCTCTTCGCCATAAATTCACAAAATTTTGAAGACCGTCAAAATTTGACTATCTGCCTAGGCATTTGACAAAATGCCTGATTCCACAATTTGCCTGCGACACATACATTCCAGTCGCTTTACAGCGCGCCCGGGCGCTCTGCGACACCTAATCGCCATCCTTGCCTATCGATCCAGAGGCATCTGGTAAATGGCATCTTGTGATTTCATCTTGAATGCCACCAATCCACGATTTTGCTGGGCGTCCCCTACGTCTTCTCCCAGGAGGAACCCAATCTAGTACCTTCTTAGGCAACCTATCATCCGCCATTCGTTGAACATGACCATACCGGACGAGCTGTTTGGTCATAATTTCATGCACAATGTTCTGCAATTGCAAATGCATTCTGCAATGTTCATCGATGATTCATTGATTTTTATCTTAAATTTGTGCAGAAATACAAAGTACATTTAATTTCAACTTGTGATACTCCTCGCTGCCGCGAGAGAGGAGAGGGAGACGGCGAAAATGCCGAGCGGCGATCGGGAGGGGGCCGCTGGAGCTCTCGGGCAACCAGAGCGGGACCGGACTGAGGTCTGACAGTCCGGTAAAACGACCTCCCAAAGAGAAGGACAGTCCGGTAAGGTCCTCCTGACGAGAAGGACGGGATGATATTTGATAGTGAATTTTATTGATGCTTTCTTGGTCACTCTGTACTAGCTAAATCTCACTTCCCTTTTTGTCGTCCCCATCAATTCTCATAGGCAGCCCTCGCTCAAATCCACGAAGCTACGAACGGCGCTGAAAAGTGCCGGTGCGGAGCGGTCGGTTTTTGAGTGAGAGTTTGACGGATCAATTCATCCACGATTGTCGCGAGACGTCGTCGCAGGTGAATAATTGACCCGTCGCCACAAACTTAGAAATCAAGAAACTTCATTATAGTACAGACTTAGTTAAAACCAAAACTAGGTATATTACTATCAATAATAAAAAAGAATAATTTTCTAGTTAAAAACGATATAAATCGCCACATCAAAAATGCCACAAACTTAAACGGCTCGACAAGAGTGAGTGCGGCGGATAAAACGCTTCAACGTACTGGATATCGTTGCCGTCGAAAAGCTGGTTGAAGGTGCATAAACGGACGAATTTTGGTAAATTGTTAAATTGAACTTAGCATCATAGAAGAATGGAGACGTTTCCTTTTATCTATACGTATATCCGGTCCTCTCCAGATTATTAAATTTTCTCTCTATAATCATTTTTTACCCGAAAATGTTTTTGAGGATTAAGAAAGAATATTGAGGCTCGGTCTGACCAAGCTGAGGGGTTCTTGAACTTCAGTCGTATTTGTTTTCTATGAATTTTACTGTGATGTAAATTATGCATACCTTTTCCTCTCAACGTTTCTTCTCTATATATGTATTCTTCCTTTATTTATTTAATTATTTATTTAACTTTTTACTTAAAATTGTTTAGTAATCAACATTTAGATCGAGTATTGGTCATGAGGGCATTATTCTAAAACAAAACTTCATGCGCGGCGTTGTTTTGGATCATTTTGACCGTTTTGTGGATAGCCTCTGGTAAAGACACTCTTTACGATGCAGGTTGCATTATTTATCAAAATATGGGAAAAGAAAGTCCAACACCTCTGATGAAATCGTCAGCTCGATCAAAGAAGTGACCCGTCTCGGAAAAGAAGGGCATTAGATGCGATTCTTCAAGATACAAACGGCGCTGCTTTTGAAAATTTTGACCGTTTCGTTGATACAGCCTCTGGAAAAGATACCCTCCATGATACGGTCAGTATCATTTATCAAAATATTGGGGGAGGAAATTTAACATCATTGAGAATATTCCGAATTACTCGCATTTATTCTGCCAAAACCAACCGACTTATTTTTCAAAGTTTATCAGCTCCACTATGTTTTCTGGCCAGTAAAATACCATGATAATCCCTCTCAAATTAGACGAACTCACCCGAGATAGGAAGCCGATTTGGGGTGAGAGGAACTAAGAAACCTTTTCAAAAACAACCTATTGGCTTGATCTTGAAGCGGACGGTTATGTTGACGCTAGTAAGAGACTAAAAGGTGTAGCACACTTCACCAATTCGATGTCTGCTCGTCAACGATGGGACAAAAGTCATTGTACCAGGGCAATTATATGGATCCATGAGTGGTTAAGATGGGGCTAGGTTTAGTCTTGTCGTGCCAACATACATTCAATATTCGGGCCGCTGGTCAGTCCGTAGACGACGACTTTGCCTTTAGAGTCCACTTCTGTGCTTAGGGACAGCCAGGGCGTTAGTGAAGATTAGCCCGTGCTTGATGCGTTTTGGAAACAAAATATTTAGGAGCCGTTCATGAATGGGTCACTAAACCTTGTTTATTTTATTGAATATTCTGAAAGTACAATGTGAGTAGATAACGTGGTGATTTTACCACATTTTTATGGAGCCGAAATCGCGGAGAAACCCGCTTTTGAAAAATCTAAAAACTGCAAGACATTTCAAACGCACCCGAATGGCGGGAAACTGACGGTGTTGACGCACTGCGGTAGTCATATAGCAATCTTCTTTCATTTTCCTCTGATGTTTGTTAAAATAAAACGTGTTTCAATGTGGAATTGTTGCTCGTTTATTACAGCTAACATATGAATGAGATTCAAGTCTTGAATTCAAAAGATATAATTTCGACTTTAGTATTGTTTTCATATACGAAGAGTAGATAGACATTTGACGGAAGTCGTGGAAACCCTTGCCCGCTTCTGATTGGTGCCGGATGACATCATTCGACGCGGCGCGAAACCGGGGCGTTTTAAATTTGCGTATAAGTTGAGCGATTTGAACTGCGCATTTCTCGGTTATTGAGTTACTTGTTAACGTTTTTAATGTGCGCATCGTGTTCTACGCGTCATTTTCCTTCAGAAAACTATATTCGCAAGTCAAAATTCGTTCATGGTTTAGTGACCCTTTACGTAACGCACTTTTCCTGATTTTCTAGCCCTGACCTGACCGCCCTCCCTCCCAATTTTAAATTAAACAAAATCAAAGAAACGCTGCATGAGAAAGAAGCATGATTGACGCTCACAGAGATCTGGTGCTATTTACTGCATTCCCAATGGTTCATAAATCAGATGCCTAGTATAAACTGACACTATTTCTTATCTATGTGAGATATGACTGCTAACATTGCAAGCAAGCGCCACAATTCTTATTCCTCCATAATACTTAATGCTTCACATACAAACGACCGGTGCCTATCCCTTCACCTTCATGTATAATAGGGCGAGCACCGCGGCGGGGGGGGGGGGTTTCCGGGTGNTGGGGGGAGGGGGGGCGAAGGGACGGGCCGAGCGTTTTGTAGGGGCGGCCCGAACAAATCGGCACTCTATGACTCGCAATCTGGGTCGATGGAGTCTCATTTTTCATGCATTGTTCGCGTCTTTCCCCGCTCGCCGCACGGTGGATCCAGTCCATCAGGGAGCTCGGACATGAAATTTTTCACGAAAATTGAAAATTTTTGTGTTTAATTCGCCACTTTTTAAATTTTAAGGAGTGGCTTGAGAACAAACTCTCACCAAAAAACGAATGGAACCATTTTTAGAATCTCTAATTTTGGATTTGACCGAGTTATAAGCTTTAAAAGTTTTCAAATTTTGTCCGACTTCTCTAATTGACTCGATCCACCGTGCGCCGGTACCGGGAGGATTAGTCGCGCTCTTGGCGGCGGCGTAAGCCTCTCTTCTACTTTCCATGCTCTTCAAGAACCGCCTAAGTGAGGAGTGATTCCCTCTGCAGTTGCGTGGTTCTTGCTTGATGCGGTGGGAATTCGCGAGGCGGAGGATTTTCGCTGGCTCCCGGAAAGATCCCGCAGCCCTTTTTCTGAGTTCGATTTGTTCCCGTGTACCATTTCATTTGAATCAGAACTTACAAAAAGTGCAGCGGGCCGATTATTGATATTGATCGACAAAGCAATAGACAAAAAAGACGAAATTCTATTCGGATTCTATTCTATTCAATTCTATTCTATTCTGGAGGAATTCTATTGGCGGAAGCGTGTGGTTGCCAAGGACAAATGAGGTAGATAATAGACTAACCAACGGCAACCCACGAGAGACCCTATTGTTGGTCCATCATGTTATCCCTTTGCCTATAAGAACTATACTCATTTCAACCAACATGATCACTCCATACTCCCTATGTCTTCTTTGTCTATTGCTATGTTCATCAGTTTCAATAATCAGCCCGTAGAAGTACATTTTTTAAGATCGTTTTTTTTTTTTTTGGAATTTCCAACGTCCCGGTTGTTATTACCATATTACCCAAGGAAGCAGCGGTAGTCCACTTCTTGAAACGCCACTGCGCCAGTGACGGACGCACAGACACGCCAAAAACAGGTTAAAATCAAAATTATTATTATTTCTTTGTTTTTAGCTGTTCTCCAAGAAGCAAGCACCAAAACACGATTCTGTGACCAATGCAACTGACCAACTTAATGTGGACTCTTATTTTATCTTTGGCCGTATAAATGCGGAAAAATCCTAACCTATCCACACTGCTCAAGCCGAACCACCCAAGAGTCAGAGGTGGTAAAACGAACTTGAGTGAGGGCATATTTGGACCGAGTTGGGCAGAAAGAAAT